ATATAAAGTAAAATAAAAAATGTCAAAATTTTCTTTTTTTCCTTTCTAGGAAAACAATTCTAGCAAATTTTTAAAAAAGTAACTCATGTACTTTTTATGAGCAGACTAGGGCTCGAAGCCCATAAAGGGCTGTCTTTGGGCAGTACCTGGTGTTTCCGCAGGGGTCCCTGAGATGCTTCTCGTGAGGCCCGACTGGGCCGCGATGGTGACATGCAGCAGCAGCTCAGCTCGGTTCATTAAACTCTTCACTAATGTCTTCGTTTTGGCCAGTGGGTGTGAAGGTTTCTGAATAAGAGAATTCACTTCCTGTAGAAACTTCTCCCTATAAAGAAAGACTGATGTGCATTTAGTCGTTCTCTAGCTTGCCAAAAATAATGATTAAAAAAAATTATAAAGGCTGGGAGAAGACAGAGGGGAAACTCAGCCAAAGTCACCTAATAAACATTGCTTACCTTCCTCTTTTCCCCAAGGGGATCAGGGTAATAAACTTTGTCCACTTTTAGTTCCTTTCTCTCAGTTTCAAGTGCCTATGCTAACTTTTGAAGGTTAAAATCAAAACTTCCACCTTACCAAATGAGTACCAACTACCAACATTTTTATAAAACCTATTAAGAGACTACACCTTTACAATTTGTTTTGAGCATCCAGGTGATAAATTAGCCTTAATAGTTGTTAACATCACTAACCTCAGTGATAGGACCATGTTTTCAAGATCATTTCCATCAAAGGAGACTTCCTTCATTGAACACAAAAGTTCTAGCTCTTTCATTTTGTTCTAAAGAAGGAAAAATCAAGAAAAGATGGTATGCAGGATCTGCAAAAACCAAGTTTTACTGTACATATGCTAAAAGGAACAGAAAATTTCAGGGAAAAATCATCACCTTTGGTCCATATTTCTATACCTGAAGCATATTTGTAAGCTATTATTTGATATTTTAATGATCAAAAATAGCATTGGCTGCTTTCTGGGGATTCCTTCAAGGTTTATAATTCTACCTGGTTTTTGTTTTTTAAGCCTTGAAAGCAAAATTTAACAATGATGACAACTTCTTTCGATTTTTTAACTATCAATGAAAAACCAACTTGGTGAATAATCATCTATATATTGGCATGTTGATTTAATCAATTTTTGTTTAACTTCTTTTTTATTTTAGTTGTCAAAAGCCAATCATTTAACCTCTTTGAAAGAATGAGTACATTTTTGGAATGTGTCACATTTTAGGAAGTGACACTATTTTACCTGCATGCACACAGTGTATACCTTCGCTCTATAAATGACAACACCCCAGTGATAAACCATACACTTTGCTCACCTCATTAAAATGGTAATCGTAAAAGAAAGGCATGTTGTTCTCCAATTTCCCCTGCACAGCATCCTCAACCTCACTTTGCCATTTCTGTTCCAGTTCTGCAACACTCTAATAGGTAAATTAAAACACTATGTACACAGACGCGAAATAAAAACAAGTGCAATCTGTAAATTTGGAAATTTTAGTCATAATAGTAATTTTTAGAAATTTAGATCACATTTGAAACTTCTTATACTTCTAGGAAAGAAATGATTTCTAACAGTTATAAGACAAACATAAATGTCTTAGCTTTCATTTACCTGTAGCTGTCTTTCCATGGCATTGAGTTTCTTAAAGGTCTCTCCCATAATTTTACACAATAAATCATATTCCTCAGCATGTTCTTCCTGATATTGGAAATTTATTAGGGACTGCAGTGCATCAACCAAGTTCAAGTGCTTAATAACACATGACACCACCATTTCCTCCATCACGTCTGGCTGAATCACTTCTCTGTGATCACAATAGAAACTAGTCAGGTATATGCCAGATTCTCAGCTTCCTAATACTGTATTTTATAGGTTGAAAGATGTTAGCTCTGATTTAAGTATATATTAAATATTCACCATATCTCCTATTACAATAGAATAAGAGGCGTGGATATTATAATGGCATTGTGGGAGTCTTAAATTGACAACTAATTTAGCATATTAACTGATAAAACTTACATTGGATGACAAAGCTGAAAATCAAAATTAAAGAGACTTCATTCTCTATGATTGGTATATTTTGAGGTAGAATCATATTAGAGGTGGAATAGGGCTAAGCCTTAAAAAAGATCTTCAGCACCATTTGCCCGCTAATTATGCAGTATTATGGCTTGCCGTATTCAGTGCATGTGGATGTTGGGCTGAAAACAATGGTGTTTTCTGCTGTATTTTGTTTAACTTTAAATTTCATCTATCCTCTAAAATTTTCTCTCCGAAATGGCCAATTTTGCCTCAGGAGGCAGAGGCAGTCTGCAAAACATTCTGGAGGCAACAATATCACAAAGACATTTGTAGCTACAGAACTTCACATTCTAGATTAAAGACCCCCTCACCATCTCTTTAGGGATCAAAAATAAAGACACATCTCTAGACTCTTTGGAAACTAAAGTAGAGGCTGACTACTGGTAGAACGTAAAACTACCTGAGAAAAACCTAGAACCTGTCAAACTTTAGCATACAACAGAATTACACAGGAAACTTGTTAAAACACAGATAATTGGGCCCCATTCTCAAAGTTTCTGGTTCAGTAGGTGTGAAATGGGGTTCAAGAACTAACAAGTTCCCAGGTGGTACAAATGCTGCTGATTTTGAGAACCACTAATCTGGAATACCATCTGTTGGGCTCTCAAGAACACTCAGTTGACATTCATTCAGTAAACATAAAATTAAAGGTTCTTTTACTAGATCACAAGAAGAAAAACACCCCCTTCAATTGTTCAACCATTTCTTTTTTCACTGGGAAAAGTAAGATGCTACATAGCAACATACTTTATACTTGGTCTAAATTGAGGTCTAGCACGCCCAGAAATTTCCCTGAGCTTTATCATGATTCCTGGAGGCAGCCTGATCCGGGGAAGATCAAAGTAGTTCCCAACAGGAGGCACGAGGACGTCAGAGGGGTAGGTGAATTCTCTGTCTTCTTCTATGGTCAGAGGCAGTGG